TAACTCCGTGTCTTTCATTCATTTCAAGGTCACTGATTTAGGAACGTTTCTCTAGTATGAAGTGCGCACTTCCTATATTTTACAATCTCCTTGGTCGTGAGATTTGGTATCCTTTTGGTCTATGGTCTGCGCAAGGCACAAACCCACAAACTATTAAGGCTCAGAAGGCCTTAAACCCAGAGCCGTAAAGCCAGTTTAAAAAAAAAAAACTTTTAAGAAGTGTACAGAGTATATACAATGCGCCAACTCGGAAAAATTACGACTCGAGTTAACACGAGTTGAAATTCACGCAACTCGAGTTTAAACTCGAGTTACGTAACTCGAGTTTAAACTTTTAACAGTACGAAACAGAGTAAATGATTTGTTACAAATTACTTTTTTTAGAAATTTGTTTTTTTATCTAGCTCTTTGATGGGTCGGGATAACTATAATTACGAAACTTATTATGTAGGGTTGATATAAAAAGGTATATTTAGTATTTATCACATACTTTTGAAATTTTGGTTTAATATTAGTTATAGTAAGTAGGTACCTGTATCTAACAACAAAACTATCTATATAGCAATCTTCACGAAATAACATTAGTCTAGCTGTAAGATATAGATACATAAGCTATTAATAGTTTAATTTTCACAGTCAAAATGTTCTTCAATAAATTCCAATTTTTTTCAAATTCAATATATTTATTCTAAGTTGAGTTTTACATTTGGCGTTTATTTAAAGTAATGTTGTACCTCATAACTTAAACATCCTTTTCGGTTATTACAATAATATTTCTGTGACTTTCATAACTATATTGATCATAATTAATCAAAATTTTAAAATAAGTGAAATAACATAACTAGCTATAGTAAAATTATAAATAACAAGTTGTTTTGGTTGTACCTAAATACTCTTTGAACCACAAAGCGCGCACACAACGAATGAATCGTGCTTTTAGTCTTTTGCTGGATCACTTAATCCATTCATGTACGAGTACAACAGCCCAAGCTCGAGTTAGGGAGATCTAACTCGAGTTAAGTGCAACTCGAGTTAGGAACTCGAGTTGACTATCACTAACAGAGTACCTTTTTCCTGTATAGGACAGTTACTATCTTTGAGCATAGTAAATTCTATGCTCAAAGGTTACTATACTCTTTGGTACTTTTATAAAGAATTTAAGTGAGATTGGTGTGGCTCAAAGAGTATAGTAATATATAAGGAAGAAGAGAGCCCTCTTGCGAGTAAAACTGGTGCTCCTTGGAAACAGCGCCACCTGATGATTGTTACGCCAACTATAATATTTACATGTGTGTGTGTATATAACAATTCACTCACACGAGAGCACTCTGTGAACGTGTGCGTGTGTATATGTACAATGCTCTTTGCCTACCCTCACATTCAATATTCTATATATTTTAAACTTATATTACTATTTCCATTCCAATTTTCTACGAATGTAGAAATTACATTCTACATTCGTAAAAAATTGAAATGGAAATAGTAATAAATGAATATAATAGGTACATATTGGAATTTATAAAAATTTAATAACGCAAAGCTTAAGAGAAAAATTAAAGTTAACAATTAGCTATGCATTCATATTTCATACATAAGTAGAAAATTGGAATGGCACACGGTTAATTTGACCAAACAGAAATAAAACAATTATTTGCATAGAGATTTAAATATATTATTAACAGTTATTAGATACACAGAAATAAACTTGGGCACTCAATTTTAGATGATTATGGAAGCATCTTAGAACACACCGTTTTCAGCAACCCATTATTATTCGTAAAACATTTTCATTAAGTAAAACGACTCTAATAAATCACCATAAACTAAATATTCACTGGCTAGTAACACCACACTTAAGTAATTGTTCTACAAAATACGAAATTAACTAAATCGACATCAAACTTTTGAATTTGGCTTAAAAAAGTTAAACAAAACGAACTCGATTTACTTTGAAACACTCCCGTTTAAAATAATATCTAATTGATGAAAAATTATCTTCGAAACTTTTTCTTTTTTAATTTCATAAAAATATGTAATAATTTAGGTTATTTTTTTCGCAACAGCAGATACAGATACTTTTATATTTTCGGCTACAGAGCTTGTAGTACAGACTAATCATTTCAATCGAACATAAATATAATCGGAACGTATAATTTATATGTACTTTATAAATCATGGATTAAACAACTTTTATTTGTCATACATACATATTACAAAATATATCGTTTATAATTTATAAGATAAGTAAAAATAATTTTAATGGACAGGTGACAAAAATATTAGAGCCATCTAGTGAGTATTAAACTAACTAAACTGAGGAAATTATGACCCGTATCATACACTTGATGGCGTTACTTTCTATGACCAAATGCATTACTATGGAACTGTACCCCCCCTGGTGTGGCTCAAAGAGTATAATAAGTATATACAGGAAAAGAGAGCCCTCTGACGATATTTTATTGCAGACAAAATTGAACTACTAGCGTCTCCTACAAATTGAATCCGAACTAATTCACTATATATAGCTATATTATGTACATCATATTAATTTAACTATTATGTTCTTTAATTCGCATACTTACTGAAACAATTTCTACTTTTTTTTGTAATACTAATTTATACTTTTAATATTAAAAGTAGGTAAATAGTTTCAATAAGTACACTTGTATTTGTGAGATAATAATAATATATAAAAAGGGTATTTGCAATGTTACAGGAATGACAATTTAATATGACAATTATCTCATTTTTAATTTTAATTTTTTATTATAAAATGCTGGTTGCCAGTATCATAATTGTCATATTTATCGGTTGATTCGATAATTATTACGTGTTTTTATGTTAAAATGATAATTTTTTATTAATAAAATCACCAATAATTTTTTGGTGCACTTATTTTTATTTTGTAAGTAAATTTCATTTTATTTTTCCAAAGTAGCGACATCTGTGAAGCCATAAGACCAACTATAAACAAATTATTTTTGGAAACAAATTATGGATGGCGCCACCATCCATTAAAGTTTTGTGGTTCAAGGCAACTGTCCTACGCCTGGTGTGGCTTCCTGACCTTCCTGACTGGCGGGAGGAAGCGCGAATTTTTAAATTAAAATTCTAATTTTAACTTCAACTTTTGAAGGAAAGTTCTTTAATTTTTATACAAATTAAAATATAGAATAAAAAGAAATGCTGTCTGATAGTGACGGCATGGATAAAAATATGGATCACGACGCGGGCGGGAAAAGAAAACCGCCAAAACGTAATCAATACATGCAGCAGGAAAATGATGGTTTTTATAAACCATACTACAAATTAAATTATAAAAGAGTTTTCCCTGAGTCAATGGGAATGGCTGAATACACAGTATTTATTGAGAGTCGTAAAGAAGGAATTAAACTTGGCAATACGAATCCCTTAATGTTGGCGGGAATTTTTAAAAACGAAATAAAAGGAGTCACTAATATAAGAATAAACGCTTCTAAAGTGGGGGTGGTGTTTGCGCGGGCGATTAACGCCAACGACTTTTTGAAAAATGAAAGTTTCTTAGAGAATTATGATTACAAGACATTTATACCAGCAAGGGCGGTGGAAACAATCGGAGTACTCAGGTATGTTCCCATTAGCATAAGTAATGAAGAACTGTTTAAAAAACTATCATCGAAATATGAGGTCGTTGCAGTGCGTCGTTACACAAAAAAAGTTAATGGACAGATCAAACCGTTCAGCTCTGTCAGTGTAACTTTTTTGGCAATCAACTTACCTGAATTTGTACATCTGGATTTATTCCAATATAGGGTGCATCAGTATATTGCCCCGCTTTTACAATGTTTTAAATGCTTTAAATTTAATCACGGAGCCAAAATTTGTAAATCAGTGCAACGGAGTTCAATTTGTGCAGGTGAACATCGGTACACTGAATGTAAGGAAAATGCGTTAATTAAATGCATAAATTGAAGTGGCCCTCATGTCGCAATTTCTAGAGATTGTCCAATAAAAAAAACAAAAAATTGATGAAAAATATAAGAGGTCTACTTATGCTAAAGTCTTACAAACAAAACAAACTCAAAATTTATTTAACAATTATAACGAAAATTTCCCTTCAATGCCTACAAAAAAAAACAATGGTTTCAAAAACAGATCAATCACAAGTTAAATCTAATGACTCTCCTAAAGTACACAAATCAAAGACGGAAACTACCCAAACTAATACCACAACTAATAATAATGACACACTTATTGACCAAATTATAACAAATCACAATATTTTGAAATCAATTATTGGAGAATTGGTGGCCATGGGTAACTCAGGTCGTAAACTGACTACATCAAGTATAAAAGAAATGCTTATTACTAATCTTAAAAACAATGAATAAACAATTTATTCGAATTTCACAATTTAATATACAATCTGTTAATAATAAAAAACCTTTGCTTGTTAATTATCTAGTTGAGAAAGATATAGATATTTGCCTGTTAAATGAAACATGGCTGCGAGAGAATAGAACTATCAACATTCCTAACTATAATTTAATATGCAAAGATTATATACTATAACCCTTACTACAAGTCTAGGAAATATATCCATTTTATGTGTCTATGCCCCACCCAGTGGAGGTCGCTTTAAGGTCAGAAGATTAAAACAAATTATTAACAGTCTACCTGCGCCACTTTTGCTTTCAGGTGACTTAAATGCTCATCATATTACTTTTGGATGTCTCACAACAAAAACTAGAGGCACTGATATCTATAACATGTTAGACGAATGTAATCTTTGCATATTAAATAATGGACCTCCAACTACAGTAGGAAGTATTAATTTTAATCAATCTTCTATCGATATTTCATGTGTTAGTCCTTCTTTAGTTCATTTATGTGATTGGCATGTACATGATGATCCTATGGGTAGTTATCACTATCCAACCATAGTCGACTTATATACTTGTGTTGAAAAATATGATATAGGAGAACCTTGCGAACGTTTCAATTATAAAAAAGCAGACTGGTCAAAGTTCCAGGCTGAAACAAAAAAAAAAGTTTGAAAACTTCACAATTGATATATCAAATTTACTTGATGAAAACTTCTGCAACACACTTCTAGAAATAAGGAAAGACTGTATACTTATAATTTCCAAACCTAATGTGTTTGTTATGAGAAAACCAGTTCCTTGGTGGGACGCGGACTGTTTGGAAGCTGTAAAGAAAAGTAAAAATGCTTTAAGATTTTACAAATGAAATCCTACAATAGAAAATTATATAGAATATAAAAAGATTGATGCCTTCAAAAAGAGATTAATTAGTGAAAAAAAGAAAACAAGTTGGGAACGAATTTGTGATTCATTTAATAGATATACTCCAATAACTTATATCTGGAATTATATTAGGAGATTTAAGAGGGTACCTATACATAAGCCATCAAAAAATGATGATTGGATTCCTTCGTTTTTAGATAAATATGCACCCATTATAACACCTTCTGAAAAGGAAATAGATATTTTAAACTTAATTACAATATTTAATCAGATAGGTACTGACAGTAGCTCTTTTCTATTGAAAGAATTTACTTGGGATGAATTTCCTGCAGCCATCCAATCAAGTAGAGATTCCAGTCCAGGATTGGATGATATTCCATACAAACTTATTAGCAACATGCATGTTAATGGACAAAAAACTATTTTAAAAATATTTAATATGCTTTGGGACAATCAATGTATTCCAAAGTCTTGGGAAACACAATGTTTAATACCTATTTTGAAACCTGATAAACCAGAACATGACTTCAACTCCTACAGGCCAATTTCACTTTCCTCTTGTGTAGGAAAATTATTTGAATATATGTTGAAAAACAGACTAGATTATTACATAGAACCAAATAATATTTTACCTGAACAACAATTTGGTTTCCGGAAAGGAAAAAATGCAGCACAGAGTTTTGCCTCTTTGATCTCAGATATAAATCATTCTTTTACCAGACATGCAACTACAGTTTGTGCATTTATTGATATACAAAGTGCATTTGATAATGTTGATCCTTCCATATTGGCAAATATTCTGTGTGAGATTGGTATTCCTGGAAAAGTATGTAAATGGATTTTTAATTTGCTATATGACCGAACTATGTAGGTATGTTAAATTTAATAACATATTACATGGCCCTAGAAATGTATACAAAGGCACCATGCAGGGTGCTACTATATCTCCCTTGTTATATAATATATATACATGTTTAATAAGTAAATATTTTAGAAATAGAAATATAAGCTCTTTGCAATTTGCTGATGATCTCCTTGTATATACTGTAAATAAAGATGTAAATATAGCGGTAAACAATTTAAATTTAGCATTAGAGCAAATTCATGATTTTTATTTAAATAAGTTGAAATTAAACATTAGTCCTAGTAAAAGTGGAGCTCTCATTTTTTCCAAAAAATATTATACATGTGATAATTTTGTAAAATATAATAACATACCATTGCCTTGGTTACAGAAAAAAAAATTTTTAGGTATATTGCTTAATCAGAAGCTAACTTTCCAAGAACATGTAAATAATCTGTGTAAAAATGCCTGTAGGGGTCTCATGCCCAATTTCACCGACATCCCCTAAACAATCACATAGTTAGACGACCGCTAAGCTAAAAGGTCCCCTAAACCAACCCATAACTAAAATTTGTTTTCACGAACGCAACGGACTTATAGCTAGGGGACCCTTCCTTATGTGACCGATTTTTTACGACGATAGTGCTTGATACCCAGTTGTAGTTACCGGTTTTATCGGAAATGATATATATTAATACAAAAAATACGTATTCATGTATTATTTTAATGAAGAAATTAGTTCTTTCATATTTTGACTGATATATGTTTTCATTTTGTTAATATTTTAATAAAAATATCATATTTTTAGTTTATGTTTGACAAGTCACCGTATTTGACACTCAGCTTTATCTGTGCATTGGCTGTTTGACATTTGTCTCTGCAAGTCACAGTTGCAAGTTTTCGTGGTGTTTTCGTTTGGTATCTCGTATCTAACTTTTTATTTTATAATTATGGCCGAAAATAAAAGCAAGCGGTGTCAAAACTTCACGTTTGATGAAAAGGATAAACTTGTAAAGTTAATGAATACTTTTAAAAATGTTATATTAAATAAAAAGACGGACGGTACAACAAATCAAGCGAAGAATGAAGCGTGGGTGAATTTGTGCACAAGATTTAATTCCACAGGAACCACGGCTAGGTAAGTTATTGATAAAAATAAACCTTTTGTTTAGTACTTGTTATAGTTGTTTTAAAGTTAAGTTGCCTTTACATCCAAACTTTATAGCTGTAAATAGTTATTGTCATAATAATTATTATCTTGATTTTGTATAATATGTAATGTGTGTATTAAAGAGTTTCTATTTACTTACTTGAATGAGAAGTTACCTACCTAATACCTGTATTCTCAGTACATTAACCTCTTTATCTACTATGATGAACATACTGAATTGCCTTTTAATAACCTACCACTAACATTTCAGAAGTAAAGAATCTCTTATGAGAGTCTGGGAGAAAATGAAGACTGATGCGAAGTTATACAAAGCACTTAGCAAAAGCAGTCACAATGGCACAGGAGGTGGCCCATCGTGTGTTAAAACAGATATAATTTTGGAACAAGTCAGTGACTTGATGGGCCGAGCATGTAAAGGCATAACTGATGTCCAGGATTCAGATGCTGACAAAATTACTGAAGCCAGTTCATTACCAATACTTGGTGATGAGACAATGGAAATTTTAATATTTCAAAATGAAAATGTTAGTATTTATAGAATTCTCTATTATGTAGGTATATTAAAATTAGAAACTGACTGACAAATAGTCCAAATGCCGTAGTAGAAATCAGGGCAATAAGTTTGTTACATATTATAATATTATATAAAAGTAAGTTATGTATATTATTGTGTTTGTTTAAGGAGATGCTTTCGTTCCTACCAGTGTTTCAATAGAGGGCTAGACAGAGAAACACTACGGGGCGACAACAACAAAATGAACTAAACTGGCAGAATTTTCAATACAAAATTATTTCAGTCATTTGTATAGGTGTCGACCCACTGTATGATTATATTATATTTACACTGTGATTTTTATATTAGAATTTGTTTTGTTACAATTTTAATGCAATACAAGAAATGTGGAATATATTGAAAATAACGATGTTGGGAATAATAATGACATTGCTCCAACACTGTCATCACCAACATCGTCTCAATTTATAAAGTCCACATCTATATGGAAAAGACGACAACCAATAATTAAAGAAAATAAGGATAAAGCTGAAGTTGTTTCAACGTTATGTGGAGGTTTTAAAGATTTGAATTCTAAAAAGGCTACTGTGGAAGATTTAAAAATTAAAATGTTAGAAGAAGAAATAAAATTTAAAAGAGAATTGTACCAGCTGCAGTTAGAAACAGCTAGAAAGGAATTGGAAATTAAAACTGAAGTATGCAACCAATTAAAAGGTATGTGTTTTATTTATTGGTGAAATTACTATATATATTTTACATAATAAATTAGATATTTATAAATTATCAAAATATTGTGTAATTTGATTTCTGCGAAATCCATATGACAAAGAAGGTCTGTCAGAAAATGCCATATTATTTATTTGTCCCCTTGCAATTAGCTCTTCCAGGTTAGGCACATCATCATTATTCACAGGCTGTTGCTCATTTCTTAATATGCATATATTATGGAAGATACAGCAAGCTATAATGACATTAATGGCATTGTTTAAAGCTAAACGAATTCCAACCGCAAGTACTGGAAACCTTCGTTTTAGCACACCATATTGCCGTTCCACCACATTTCGTGTTCTAATGTGGGCCTCATTATATTTTCGTTCTCCACTTGTTGTAGGGTTGAGATAAGGTGTCAAGAGATGAGGCTAAAACAAAAATATTTTTAAGTATTATTGTATATAATAATGTAATTTATATGATGTAAAATATTTCTTTTCTATTCCAGGTCACACCTTAAACTTTCAAAATGTATCAGGAATACCTAAAAATGGTTCTGCAAATAACTAGTTTAAGTATACTTTTTTATTAATTAAATATCCCTTACCCATGCATAATCTTTTTATTAAATAAAAAGTATTTATTTAATCAATATTTTGAGCTCTGTGATGAATGATGTTATTCTTTTTGTTTGTAATTTTTGTAATTCTTTTTGTAACCTACTTAAGTTTTAATCAATATTATATTATTATTCTCCTTATTTTTTCTTTTACCTTTAAGGGATAGCCACTATCCCCAAGTAAATGGCTGTCTCCATACTCCCCTCTTTCAAACTTTCTATAAATATAGCTATTTTGGTAAATTGCTGAGTCATGTGTAGAGCCTGGCCAGCGTGCAACAACATCCTGGACCAACAACTTTGCTGATGCAATTGTTTGGACATTTATGGACATGTAGCCTTTCCTGTTTCTAAATAGTTCAGCATCATCTCCACCTATAGATATAAATAATACTTCATCAGCATTGCTTGATAGACTACTAAGAGAAATGAACTTTTAGTGAAAGGTAGTTAAATAAAAATGAGGAATTTACCTGGTGACTGAATTTTTACATGTGTGCAATCAATACAGCCTAGTACATTAGGGAATCTAGCTATATCATAGAAGTCTATCTTAACTCTGTCTTGGTCTCTGTTTGTATCAGGAAATATAATGAATTCTCGACGTAGGGAAACAATTGCTTGAGACACTCTCTTTACTATCCGGCTGGATGTAGCCAAACTAGTACCACCCATATCAGCCACAGCAAGCAAGTGATTGCCTGTGGCATAATATCTTAAAGCTATTAATAATTGATTTATGGGTGGTATGGAATTGTTCCTGTAAAAAAAATAAACAACTACAAATTAAAATAGGTAGAAACTTAAGTAAGATATACCTCGGGTATCAATTTACCATGGTAGGTAGGTTAGCACCAAACAGGTACCTACGGCCTACCTATACAGGCTCATTTTCTACTCAAAAGTTACTGTTAGGAGAGCAATAAAGTAACCTTTTATGCTTTTACCTTTATTTCGTAGCTAGGTATTATAGGTAATAAGTGAAAATGTAGGAACCCAGGAACCCACACTTTAACTTAAATATTTAATAAACTACAGTTTTAATAACATTATAGACTATTGTACATACATTAAAATTGATAACATATGTAAATAGTTAGGTACTCACCTATTATCAGAAAATTCCAAAATATGTTCAATTTTTTCCAACAAATATATCACTGTTGATTTAGATAACCTATACTTCGGAAAAAATCTATTTCATCGAAATCGTTGAAATAATTTGGTCGTTTTCGATATATTTTAGGTCTTCGACTACGATTTATATCAAATATAGTATCAGTTGTGTCTAAATTATCAAGAAAATCAAATAGATCACAGTCCATCTTGTCCTCTAAAAGTCGCTTTTACTTATGTGAAGGTTTATGGGACCAATAATCCATCTCATAAATTTAGGGGATCGTTTAGTCAGTAACGGACCCTTTAAAAGTGGTGAAACGGAAACTATCCCCTAACTGGCCCCTAAATATGCTAAGGGGTCCCATAAATCTTACGGGTCGTTGGTGAAAGTGGGCATCAATGTGTTAAAATCATTAGCAGGTGTGCATTGGGGAGCTGATCCAAAGTTGTTATCAATGCTTTATAAAAGTATAGTTCGAAGTCATTTTGATTACAGCACATTAGCATACTTAAATGCAAACAGATTGATTTTAAAGAATTAGATATAATTCAGAATAAAGTGTTGCGTGTAATAACTGGGGCTATGTGCTCTACACCAATCCATGTAATGGAAGTAGAAAGTTGTATTCCTCCACTTTTACTAAGAAGGCTACAAATTGCTGAACGGTTTTGTGTTAAATTAATCAGTTCAAAAAATGATTTAGTTTTAAAAAAATACTTATGAAGTTCCTGAGTTTGATGATAGCTCATACATTGATGTAAATATGCTTTTATCTGGTCGATTACCAGACATCCTAAGGATTGTTTTATACTCACAGACCGAAACCAAAAATGTGTATCAAAGTAAACCATGGCTTTTATATAAAATAGAATATGATGCTTTACTGAACATTAATGTTTCTGTATGTCAAGAAAAAGTGAATTCTCAAATGGAAATGTTAAGATATCTTGCTGACAATGATTTTTATACAATATATACAGATGGATCAAAATCTGAAGAGTACACAACTTCAGCATTTTATGATTCACAAAAGAAAATATCTAAAACTTAAAATTCACAATTTATGCTCTATTTTTACAGCTGACTGTTATGCAATATACTTAACTTTATTGTACATAAAAAATATTGCAAATTCACAGTTTCTAATTGTAACTGATTCAAAAAGTGTTGTTATTAAACAGCTATTGAATCTAACAAAATGGATTACAAAAAAAAATTACATTATATATAATATAACAAATTTACTAAACAATCTTAGTAAAATAAAGAAGACTGTTACCTTTATGTGGGTCCCTTCACACTGGGATAACTGGGAACGAGGAAGCAGACATTGCTACTAGAGACATATTCTCATCAACATATTGAGACCACTCGACAATGCTGGAAATACCATTTACAGATATATATGCCTTGTTAAGCAAGAACTTGAGATCCTTATGGAAGGCATACTGGGAAGAAATAAGCAAGTCCAAAGGAATTTGGTATTATGAAATACAAAAAAGCCCGCCAGCCACTCCTTGGTACAATAAAAAAGGGATTAACAATAGAAAATTCATTACGACTGTAAACCGAATTAGATTTGGACATAGCAGAGTAGCCGCCCACCTGCATCGTTTGGGAATGAAAGAAAATGCAAATTGTGAATATTGTGGAGACACGAAAGGAGACCTAAAACATCTGGTTTTTCAATGCAGTCAGTTTGGTTTAAATAGATTACTCCTCATTAATTCCATTCAAGATATTAACAATGATAAAGTTCCTGATACTCTTCAAAGTTTATTAGCTGATTAAAAATTCTTCCGACCATTATATTCCTTTATATCTGGTGTCCAAGATATATAAAAATGAGAACAACGTGTTATTAAACAATAGTGCAAACGTAAACAAACAGTGAATCAATGTGAAAGTGAATTTTTGATGATTGTATCGTAAAGTTAATACATTGTAACTTCAGGCTCAGAAGGGCTAGAACCCAGAGCCGTAAAGCCAGTTTATAAAAAAGAAAAAGAACTGAAGTGAAAAAAATAAAGTTGTAAATTGTAATCTGTGTTGTTTACATATTTTCCATTTCCAGTCACAGATTTCAGCTGATTTCTTTCAAAACCTTTGAGCATAGAAAATAGAAAACAGATATAAACGTGTTTAATTCATTTTATATTAGAGAGGACACAGGGCAGAACTGTCTACGTAATGGATCAATGGATTAGTGAAGGCCTTTCAAGAATCCTGAACTTTGAAGTTCCGGATGATCTTATAAAGTATTTCTTTTTCTTTCATTGTTTTATATACATATAATGAATAAACTTTAACTTCAACGTTTGTGATAATGTGCTTTTTTAAAATTTCAGGTATATTAATTCCATCGAGAATGAATCAGATTTAAATGAATACATGAAAACTCTACTAGATTTTGATAATTCACAACATAAGTCATTTTTTGTAGAACTATGTAAGAGAAAGTTTCCCAATAAAGGTACGCACATTCTAATTACACATATTAAACACATATACACTTATTGACAAATTTAGAGGAGTACATAAAAAGTGTGTATGAAACAAAACATCATGTTTAATTGTGACAATTAAGTTAATTTAGATTTTGCTTATTTAAAATTGTAAACGTCGTAAAAACAAAAGATTAATGGGCTTTAAGTCGGATAAGCACTCTGGCCACCCCATAGAATTAATTTCAACACCTTGAAAGTATCTAACAACTACGGCCACAGTATGAGTGTGCATTATCATGCATAAAAACAAATCTATCTCCTACAAAAGGGGCAAATGGCACTACAATTTCTTCGAAAATTATATATTGGAAGAAATTGTATCATTCATTTTCAAAGACATGAGAGTTCCGTATGTGCCCCAATACAAATTCCTCCCATACTATAACTGAGCCTCCACCATATGCCTTCTTTTTCTACTACGTTGCACTGTGTGTACCTCTCTTCGGGGCATCTCCATACTTTAATCCTTCCATCATGTGTGCTTCAGGCAAAATCTGAAATCTGTGAATAGTACACTAAGCTTCGTCATTAAAAATTTACTTGAGGAAGTTACTCCATGGCATGTGGCAAGAAGGGGGCCTATGTCAGCAATCGCTAGACCTTCTTGGAGCTTCATTCTTACCTCAGAAGGTAACATGAACCGGTCATGTCTTGGCACAGTTTTCTATTTATGTCCCTGTTTTACGAGGGGTGATCCAAAAGTAATGATAATGAAAATAAAACACGGTAATTAAAGTTAAAATAATAATTTATTTTTCTACATAGACTCCTAACAAATCAATACATTTAGTACGCTTCAACAGCGGCCATTACTTCGCTATTGTCTTCGAATTTCTTGCCTCGGAGGCGTTCCTTGAGCCGAGGAAAGAGGTAGAAATCACTAGGAGCTAGATCTGGCGAATAAGGAGGGTGTTCGAGCAGTTCGAATCCCGTTTCTTGAATGGCAGCCATCGCAACTGCGGCTTTGTGAGCTGGTGCGTTGTCTTGGTGAAACAGCACTCCAGCTCGCAGTTTGCCGCGTCTTTCTTCCTTAATGGCCTCCCGTAATCTTCTTATTTGGTCTGTGTAGTAAGAGTCCGTAATAGTGGCTCCCTTTTTCAAATATTCCACCACAATTATGCCTTGAGCGTCCCAAAAAACAGATGCCATAACCTTTCCCGCCGAACTTGAAACTTTGAATTTCTTTGGCGTCGGTGAGGAGGCTTGGTTCCAAGTCATCGATTGTTGTTTCGTTTCAGGATCTAAATGGTGGATCCAGGTCTCGTCCATAGTCACAAAACGGAACAAAAAATTTTCTTGATCTGCTTGGAACTTTTCGAGATTGACCCTCGAAATGTCAACTCGATTTTTCTTTTGCTCGTCGGTTAACATTCTGGGTACCCAACGCGCAGAGACCTTTTTCATATGCAACTCGTTCGCAAGGATTCTTTGAACGCTGCCATATGAGATCCCTGTGACCTCAGCTACATGCCTGATGGTCACTCTTCGATCTGCCAACACAACATCTTCGACTTTTTTCACGTTGTCTTCAGTGAGGGACGTGGATGGGCGTCCTTCGCGATGTTCATCTTCAGTGGATGTTATGCCCAGTTTAAACTCCTTAGCCCAGTGTGCAACTGTAGAATATGGAGGAGCAGAGTCCCTCAATGTTTCCACTAAGTCACTGTGTATGTCTTTTGAAGACATTTTTTTCAAACAGAGGTACTTGATGACAGCTCTAATTTCGTTTTTCTCCATGTTGATGTTATCTCTTTGACAGTTCATATTCAAATGAATGTATCTCCCGGAAATCGTGATCTATTTATATGATTTTTTTAGACTGACGTAGTGAGTATATAAGCAAGCAAAAAATATTTTTTTTGGATTTTTATGCGGACCTGAAGTAACCGATTATCATTACTTTTGGATCACCCCTCGTACAAGTCTCATATACGATCTGGTCTACCGATACCCCTTGACAACACTACAAGGTGGTATTCCCTACACATTATCACCAGTTTCACTCAAATTTATAGGATATGCAGGACTTGGCTAGAAATGAAAGTACCCAAAGTGGAAACTCCAGATGGCCAAGCGTATAGAATTTATAGGATATGCAGGGCTTGGCTAGAAATGAAAGTACCCAAAGTGGAAACTCCAGGTGGCCAAGCCTATAGAATTTATAGGATATGCAGGGCTTGGCTAGAAATAAAAGTACCCGAAGTGGGAACTCCAGAGGGCCAAGCGTATAAAGTAAAGTAAAAAATGACATTCTATATGCCTTTTGCATATAAATAAATAAAATAAATTATTCACCTCTGCTCAATTGGAAAATGAATAATATAAAAATTGAGAAAAAGAGAAAAAAAATCTACAGACACTGGAGTGGAACCCACGACCATCGAATTTTTAGTCCGAGCTCTTACCATTACACCAACTTGTGCTCGGCGTTCGCACTAACGTAATTGGGTTATAAGGTGCGAAACATTGGTGATGACTAGTAGGGAATTCCCCCTTGTCAGTGTATCACAGATTTTGATACTTGTAATGTGTTTGCCACTATTTCAATTAAAGTAATAGCCATAGCAACTTGAGTAGTGTTTAAATCTGGTATTCTCAGTTTATTTGTAGTAACAATTCACACTTAACATGATAAAATAGGCAGTCAAGGCAAAAAAATTTCTCAATATGAAAGAACGCAATATTTATATAAAAACAAATGGAATTCGAAAAAAAAATAACAAAGCAAAACTTTTCTTTTTCAATAGCAAATACTTATGTGTGAGGCCAGTATGTGTGATAATTACAACAGGAGAAATTAAACCTTTTATTTGTGTTCCTCTTATTTTTCCATGAGTATATAAGAATATATTATATGTTGCTGACATAATCTAGACTACTAGATGGACATAGGCATCATAGGCAGAAAATGCCACCTAGTACGATGTGGCCATCGTATTTTAAGATTTGATTTCACTCAGGCTTAAAATTAAAAGTAATTGCACTTACACCAAGTGCAGTTTGCATGCTTTGTATATATGATATTGATATATCCTGTAATACTGGAAACGAATGTAAAATGAGCTAGGCGCTTTATTTGTTATCACATGTTACATTATTCTAGTTTAAAAAAGTGAAATCTCTCTTTTTGATTTAGAATTTTTAGGATTTCCTTCCATGACTCGGTCACTGAAACCTTATATGTCAATAAATAAGTGGAGTGGACTGTATGTCCTGACCTGAAGAAAATTGGCATATTGACCTATGTACCCTTTGTTTTGTTATGTTTATGCTACAGATAAGATCTGAAGACGTATTAAAGCTAACCCACATTTTGGGTAAAGTCCAAATAATAATTAATAGTTATGACTTATTTTAAATCCTTATATATAAAAGTTATGTGTCACATTGTTTGTCTGCGATGAACTCCTAAACTACTGAACTGATTTCAATTAAATTTTGCACACTGTGTACAGTTTGGTCCAACTTGAGAGATAGCATAGTTTTTATCCCGATAAGTGATTCTCAACGTTTTTTAAGGAATTTAAGAATATTTTTTGTAAGACAAAGAGTCGTCGGAGAGGGCAGAACAACATCTGCCTGGCCAGCTAGTAAATAATAAAATTGAGATTTCCGTATTACTCTTTACTGGTTTTCTATTTTAATTTAATAAGTGAGACGTTTATAGGTTAACTTTCTACACATCTATCTATATAAATAAAATGATAGAGGTTTGCAGTTGTGTGGGCATCACGGGAATAAACTACTGGATAGATTTTAATTAGTATTTCTAAGTTTTATTTCTTTGACACTTGACCCTTACCAAAAAAAAAAAATATTGTGATATCTTCATTTGATATAAAGTTATTAAAGTTTTAAGAACGTGGACGAAGTCGTGGGTATCAGCTATTTTGTTAATAATTAAAAATTAAAAATTTAGTACAACTGACTTCAATATAAATTATTAAGAATAACTCAAGAAGTATTGGTCAGACCTTGATGAAATTTATATGGGACCACATGAGAAGCGCTAACTTTCAAATAAAAAAAGAAATATCGTTTTCGGTTCACCCAGAAAAAAGTTATGAGGTAACAAACATAAAAAAACATACATTCGTATTGAGTACCTCCTGTTTTTTGAAGTTGGTAGAAAATACAAAAGCACGTGTCAAGATAATATCTGCAACATTTGGTTATAATATCTCTGAGATAGACCCCAAAACTGCAGTAATGTATATTTATATCATTTATTATTTATAAATAATTCAAACTATACCTAAAACGCATTAGGGAAACCTAGGTTACTTCTACTAAAGTACAAACTTAATTTTTAACTTTTTAACTGAGCCATTTTTCATCATAATAATAACAATCAAATGAATTTGTCATAAAATTATGTAGCTAGCATAGTGGTTAGCAAGCCTATATTGCCATGGGCCATGATTTAAAATCTCAACGAAATTAAATTTTTGTGTAAATATAATTTTTTTTGCATTTAATTACATTTGGATTATTAATGCTTTTATTTCAACAACTTTTTTTTTTCAACAAACAAATTTGTAGTTCATTCTGATTACAGATCGCAAGTTGCAACTGCAACTCATTTTTTGATAAATAAAATACTACCAATGCTATTAACATTGCTAATATTCCCTTTAACCAGTCCTGGTAAATTTAAAATGCTTGTGTTAGGAATAGTTCACGACAGCAGTGGAATGGCGATTTCAAAACCACAACCTTTTTGAGTTTGCGGTCCTCACCCTGCCATTAGGCTATTGTAGCTTCAAAACATTGACACCTCTAATCAACTTGAAAATGGTACTGGGCATCATTATGTTTGACAACTAAGATGAAATTAAATGAAACATATGGGAATAAATGACTGATTTTTTTGCGCCGAAACTACACGGCATTACCATTATGTCCTTTTTTTTATAGGATAAGGGTGACAAACGAGCACACAGTCCACCTGATGGTAAGTGGTTACTGCGGCCCATAGACATCTACATCAATCCTATATTACAACTCAAAATGTAGATGCGTTGTCACCCGTGAGGACTAAGATGGAATGCCTCATTTCCAGTAAAAAGGGCCTCCGGCCACCTGCATTCACCAAGCGAAACACAAAGGTAAACCTCTACTTCACGCTGGTTTTCTGTGAGGTCGTGGTACCACCCCGTTTCGAGCCGGCCCATCCGTGCGTCACCAAAAGCTGCCGCGTGGCTCTACCACTGTTAATGCTCTCCTCTAGGCTTTATTATGATCTAGAATAAAAAATATTCTATTCTATTCTATTCTATGCAAAAGCTGTTTACAGCATTGGTTAAGATCATGATGTTATAATTGTCGTCCTTCCAATAAGCTGAAATATTACATAGGAGATATAAAGCCACAAGTGAACACAAAACATACCGAACCTAGACAACCTAACCTGTCCATGTTTAATGCAACACCAACGCAATCAGATCAGAGTTAGGCAAGGACAATCACAACCCATTCTGATACTTATACCAACAGCTGATTAGAGGTGGTAAGAGCACTTGGCTGCTTGGCTACTAGTCACTACTTGGTGTGATGTATAAATTAGACAATCCAGCATTTCATCCCATGGTGTTGGAATTATGGGTAACTATGAGAAAAACCAGACAAATAAAATAAAACCCAAACTGGCGCAGGGGCGTTAAAGGTGAGAGACATCTGATAATGCTCTAGCCACTTCATCTGCATAGTGTGTCAACTATAGCAAAGGCTCTCTACAACAAAATAAAAAGAAGCGGGACTTTATCAGTAGAGTAATTAGCTTAACTGTGAGAGTGTTACTATGCTATATACTATGCTTGCTTTACTTTGAAAGTTACCTGCAGACATTGTTAATGTTTACCTTGCCACTTTTTTGTGCTTTTAGGTAATTCACTAACAAAACAGCAGAAGAAAAAGATTTCGAAAAACAAACAGCAGCAAGATTTTGTCAGTGCTGAAGTGCAACCATCCCAAACGTCGGAATCAGAGGCCAAATCAAAAAAGAAGACCAAGTATGTCAACTTGTATTCACAGGAGGGCAAAAACGCTCAGGTTGTTTTGTTAAAAGGTTTGTTTTATTAATTCTGTACATAGAATACAAGAGGAAAATATATCACTCAATTTATAGACTGCTTTACGTTTAAAAATGCTAAGGTTATTTTGTTATCTTTCATTTATGTCCCATAAAATATAATATTTCTTCATATTAAGGATTCAATTTTATATGATAGAGCCATGCTGCAATTATATTAGTAGTATAGTTGTAGCACGAAGACGTCGGCTGGGCTGGGGTGGGACCACACTCTCACAGAATACCAGCTTAAAATAGCAGCTTAACACTGCTGTGTTTCGTATGGTGAGTGTAGAGAACTGGAGACCCTTTTTACTGGAAAAGAGGCATTCCATCTTAGTCTTCACGGGTTACAACACATCTGCATTTTGATTCTTTATTGAGGATAGATGTAGATATCTATGGGTCACAGCAACCACTTACCATCAGGTGGACTGTGTGCTCGTTTGACACCCGACCCTATATAAAAAATCAAAAGAATAATATTCCCTGGATTATCTTATCTGCTTTATCAAAGCCAAATAGTTATTGGGCCTATTTGGCTACTTCTTCACCATCGCCATTCAGCAACTGAATATTTGGCTTTGTCCGGAGATGGTTATTTATATTTACATAAAAATTCATCAATTTTATCTCTTAAAAACTATAAATGTTCATTAGTTACTATTTCAGTAAGGCGAATCATAATATCATTATTTTATTATTAATATCAAATATCATTGTTTTATATCACTTTTATAATAAAATATTGGAAATACTGAAAATACTGACCGTATGAGGAAGCTCATATAGAAGATCATTATAGAAGTCGCGCCACGAACTATGGAGACGGCTATGCTCGGAGTTTCTCTGTGTGATAAACTTAAAAACGAGGATATCCTCAGTAGAATCAGAGTAACCGACATAGCTCAACGGATTAGTAAGCTGAAGTGGCATTGGGCCGGTCATATAGCTTGAAGAACCGGCAACCGATGGGGAAGCAAGGTTCTCGAGTGGCAGCCTCGTACCGGCAGGCAAAGTGTAGGGCGTTCACCCATTAGTTGGAGTGACGACCTGGTAAGACATGCAGGAAGTCGATCGACCCCATGTCCCTGCCAATATGCGCCGAAGGTGGAATACCATGGGGTTTTAGTTAGTGCGAATCCGACATAATCCGTCCGTGCCCACGCTAGGTATGTGTAGGCATTTCCCCATGTAAAATAAAAGGCATTCACCCACTAAGTGAAGTGACGCTTTTGGAGGGTCTTTTTTTTTATTTTTTATTTATTCATAGAAAGAGTGTTACATTATTTACATTTAAAACTTTGCCAAACTGTATGCCAGTTTGTCGGCAATGTATGCCAGTTTGTCGGCTCAAGACCGTGCTTTGAGGCATTCTTTGGGGGAGGCCTATGTTTAGCAGTGGACTTGTGAATGGGCTGTAATGATGAAGATGATGATGATTAAAAAACCTAATAACTGGTAAATGTATTCATTTTACTAGTTAACTTAGATCTCACTACCTGAATACAGGCCTCCTTTAATTTGAGAGTGTTGTACCAACAAGAAAAAACTAATATTATGCGTTAACTTAATGTAAATTTGATTATGCCATAGTTTTTTTTTTTACTTTTTCAGGTAGACATCACTGCGATTGCCAAGCATCAAAGCACGAGCTAATCAACAATTGTCTGCAATGTGGGCGTGTAGTTTGCAAACAGGAGGGCTCCGGGCCTTGCTTGTTTTGCGGGAATCTTGTAAGTTGTACTATACTATTCCAAACACAAAAAGCAAATATGTGTTGTCAATTCCAGTGGGATATTATTTACAATTTCTTATTTTTTGCTTTCCATGTAGACATTATATCCAACATTTCATACATTACATCCTAAAAAACTTTTAGTTTTGTCAATTGTTAGAAGTATATTAGAATACTGTTGCACAGTCTGGCGTCCCCATTATTCCTACACATAACCTTCGCCTTGAGCGCATACAAAAAAGATTTTTATGGCATCTTGCCTTTTCTACACGAAAAGCATATAAAAATGCATCATATGTACCAGATTAAAGACATTTAAAATGGTTTCATTGTCAAAACGCCGGGACATTCTGGATTTGCAAGTTTTATATAAAATATTCAGAAATAAGTTAGATTGCCCATTATTACTACGTAAATTTAATTTTCGTATCCCAAGTAGATATCGTAAATTCATTACTCCCCTTTCGCCGCCCCCTCGTAGAATTACTGTACTAGGATTTAATTCCCCAATACCTAGACGCAGACCATTAATTACTTATAATTTAGTAGATATTCACCACGACTCTTAACGTTTTTTGGCACAAAATTTATCCAAATATTGATATTTCGTTGTAGTTTTTTTTTTGTATTAATTGAATATTATTTTTTTTAATTTTGTGTTGTATATTTTTAGCTATTTGGTAACGGCTTGTAGGAAATGCTGTGAGCACTAAACATGCGGTGTTTATCTATTATTGAATGTGCACTATGTATTATAACTCTTAGAATTAAGCATATGTATTAGTGTAATATTTGTTGGTGAACCAATAAATAAAAAGTCCATTGCTGAACATAGGCCTCTCCCATAGATTGCCTCATAGGGAGGATACATTTTTATCGCCATAGTTTCCAAGCATGGCCTGTAACCGCGATTTTTTACTATTTTGACAAGATGCTGCTGTCCATCTCCTGCTTCATTTCCCTTCTGTCACCTCTTACGACACCCACATGATGATATAGGGCAGTGGTTTATCTTGTGCCACCACTAAACAAATGAATGGTATATTATTAAGTGGCGAAGCTTGCGAAGTCACTTATTGATTTCACGATGTCTGTCCGTCTGTCCGTCTGTCCGTCTGTCCCACAATTATCTCGAGAACGGTTCCGAATTTTCAAATTCTGTTTTCAGCAATCGATTACTGATCACCCAGGCATCTGAACCTCCTATTTTGAAACTGATTGCTCAACGGCAACCTTTAGAAACCGCTACAAAGCTGATTGCTTCGCCACTTTGCTATGCTGTTAGCTTGCTAGGTTTATTTACTTGACACTTAACAGTCCAAGTAGTTTCAAAATATTGAACATCATTTTGCATTTGCTTGAAAAAGTTTTTAAAATTATTTTAGATTACGTATACATTTTTAGTTAACTACACAATGTCACACTTGATACGCTAGCATTGCAAACTGCAGATTATATGCATTGCAATCAATTGGTTTGACCGGGAAAGGATTACTTTCACTCAGAGTGCCAGCATAAGCACGCTAATACTGCTGTGTTTCCTATGGTCAGTAATGTGATCCGGTGACCCTTTTACGAGGCCTTCCAATTTAGTTCTCAGGGGTGACAACACATCTGCATTTTGATTCTCAATCAGGTGGGCTGTGTGTTCATTTGTCATAATAACTTGTCACCGACGCGTCAGCAATTGCCGTAGCTTTTGGTCGACGACTAAACCGTTGCCGGAAAGTCATTCGTCTGTACGCGTTATAAAGTGCATGCTGTTTGAGCCAAAAAAAAAACTTGTTACTTCATCAACTCGGAATGTAAGATGTATTTAAATTTGACCTTTTAAAAAGATATATAAAAAATGTTTACAAATAAACATTTTTACATACATTTTTTAGAAATTTCTGGTGTCGGTTAAAAGTATAGACTGTGTACTCGTTTATCACTTTACTTGTATAAAACAAGTGGTAAAATTAAAAATTTTGTACAACCGACTTCAACATAAATAAAATGAGAACATCATCAATGTAGTCGAAGTCAATTAAATACACATTATTAAGTATAACTCATAAACTACTAGTCAGATCTGGATCAAATTTATATGAGACCAGAAGAGAAACACCAGCTATCCATTAAAAAAAGAATAATCAAAATTGGTTCATCTAGGAAAAAAAAAACAGTCGAATTGGGAACCTCCTTCTTTTTTTTGAATTCAGTTAATGATTAAATAAGCCATGAAGGGCCTGACGCATAATAATCGCGTCAAGTTAAGAAATGCTTAATGTTGCTCTCTCTCTCTCTCTCTCTCTCTCTCTTTTTCTTTCTCTTTACTAAATGACAATAGAAAGATTACAAAGACTTCTATGTATACTACAATAAACGGGCAATTCCGAACAAAAACTGTGTCGCAGCTGTGGATCACATGGGTGCGGGCGGGTAATAAATGGCACGGCAAATATGCCACGCAGTTGTATTTTCATTTACGACAATTGCTGTTTTTAGGCAAATAAAAAAAAAATAATTACATACTTATTTCAAACAAACTTCAAATTTGAAACAAAAACAGGTTGTCAAAGTGCGCACAAGAATAATGACAGCGTTTTCTTAGTCACAGTACAGTAGTTGCATAACAATACAACATTATATCAAAATATATTAAAAAATCACACCCCTTTAATACATTTTTTTTCACACAACAAACTTTTTAATGCAAAACAAAAACGGGTTAAAACAATCCAAAACGTTCAATTCGAAAACGTTACGTTACGGCCTTGTCTTTAATCTATGTTGTTCAAAGATTAAAACAGCGTTTACTTTTTAATATAATTGTGAATCGTGATTACTTGCCAAATGGGCAGATGGGGTCGGCTGACACATGGACATGCATAAGCTGTCAACCCCCTACGGGCGTCATGACTCATGAACAAAATCAGTGATTGATTGTCAAAAACAATGTTCGCCGTTTACAAAACAAAGAAATAATCTTCTTGCTCATTCACAGTTGACTAAAGGAATTACAGAGCATCGAGTAACTTAGTGTGCAATGTATTAAGGCTGCAGATCTCGCCTAGTAGTATGCATAGAAGTCTGAACGATTATAAGTAAGGTATGTGTATAATTCTAGGTATGTACACCGCAAGAGCAAAAAGAAATCAATGCGAAAACAAAGGCAAGCGCTAAGCTCATGGAGTCTTTGATGGAGAGAAGCAGGCCGAAAGGATGGGAGGCTGCCATTTCACACAGGAACAGGTTGCTAGAGTATGACCGGACTAGGTGAGTTGAAAAATTTCATAAGAAAAAACCTGGTAGGCTTATTCGTCCTACATGGGCAGTAAAATTTTTTTTCCAGAGTAGGCTCAAGGGGGCACTGCCTCTAACTTGTTGAATCACAGCTAGGCAGCATTTTTTATTTGTGTGGTCGGATAAACAAAACTGTAAGGGGTCACTAAAAAGGGAAATACACTCTAGGGTCATACTCTCCTATGCTCTTTCCTTAGGAGCTGAAGATTAAGGTAAGAAAATTAAAAAAAATATTTTTGTTATTAAACTTAATATTAACGTGACGAGTCGAGATGCAAACTACGTTCTAATCAACGCCATTACAGAAAACAATAAATAAAGCAATATTGAATCGAAAAAAATACTTATCAATGATTACGTAAAAGTATATACAAGGTTATTTTGCAATAAACGGGCAAATTTGCAGAGAAGGAAAGTTGCAAAGTTGTTTAAATATTTAGTAAGATGCTGCTGCCCTCTCCTGTTTCAGTTACGATATCCACGGGAGCATAGTGGACCTCTCCCACCCGCCATTGCATGGCGAGGCATTAAAATACCTATTTAAATGTTTCAGTGAACGTCGTACACGCGTGACGGACGACGATAGTGATTACTTCAGTGCGGGTAGCGTTTGGCTCAGCGCCAGTGAAAGGGAGAAGCTCCAGAAGTACCAGCAGTCGCTGCATGAGAAGAAGCATGCTTCAAGATTGAACAAGAAGATGACTTTTGACTTTGCTGGTACTGTACAGAATCTTTTTCTTTCTTTCTTACTGTGTGGGTGACATAATATGTAATAATTTACATTCCCTATTGTGGTGGGAAGGATCTTGATTATTCAAGGTGGACTGGCCTCAGAGATTGATTCAGTATGCTACGTAATAAGCTGCCACATCTTAGTCTTTCCATGTTCTAATTATATTTCAATCATTTTATACGTGGTAGAGGTATGCTACAGCCATATTAATAGTATAGTTGTAGCACGAATGGGTCGGTTCGACCGGGGAAGGACCACGCTCTCACAGAATATAAGCGTAAAATAGCAGCTTAACACTGCTGTGTTTCGTAAGTTGAGCGTAGAGAACCGGAGACCCTTTTTACTGGAAAAAAGGCATTCCATTTTAGTCCTCACGGGTGACAAGGATTCTGCATTTTATTCGCAAACGAGGATGTCTATGGGTCAAAAAACCACTTACGAGGGTGCGTTTTTAAGTTCGCGGAATGGGGGGTAGGGAGTGGAAATAAAAATCCAAATTTATCTTTCCTTTTCAATATATTCACCTGCTACCCCAATACATTTTTCGGATCTTTCAATTAACTTACGTATACCCTCAAAAGAAATGATTTGTGTTTGTCTAAAAAATACGCCGAAACTGCTTCATTCACTTCTTCATCACTTAAAAACTTTTTCCCACGAAGTTCTTTTTTTAAGTTTGGAAATAGATGGTGGTAGAGGTGGGTGTGGCAAAATTTCGAAGCCCACCTTCTGCAGGGCAGCCATCGCAACATGGCACTTGTGAACAGGCGCGTTGTCGTGCAGAAGAAGGATTCCTTTGGTAAATTTTCCCCTTCTTTTCTCCTTTATATGGCTTCCTTCAATTGTTCTAGGATTGACGCGTAGTAATTTCCGGTTATGGAGACTCCTTTATCTTTATAATTAATCAATAGGATTCCTTTCTGAGTCCCAAAAGACTGTCGCCATGTTTTTCCCAGCCGATTCTGCCACCTTAAATTTCTTGGGTGGTGGTGTGCCTCTTGTGCCACTGCATAGAATCCTGTTTGGACTCAGGTTAATAATGGTGAACCCAAGTTTCGTCACCAGTAACAATTCGAGCCAACACTCGCATCTTTTTCTTCCATACAGACAAAAATGCACGAGAACACTCCACGCTGTTGCTTTTGAGGCGGCGTGAGCATTCTAGGCACCTTGCGCTGAATTTAGTCATGCCAAGATGGTCATGAAGAATTTTAAAAAAGATTGTATCTGATACTCCAACCATTTCTGCGAGCTGTTTTTTCTTTAGGCGGGCATCTTCTAATATTAATTTTTCGACTTTTTGAATAATTTCCGAAGTGGTCACCTCGATCGGCCTTCCTGGCTGGTCGTCTTCAAGTGACTCTCTGCCTTGTATAAAAAGGGTATGCCACTTGTAAACCATAGTTTTACTTGGACAAGAGTCTCCGTAACCGGATGACATCTCTTCCAGTATAGTCTGAACTGATTTTCCGCGCTTGGTAAGGAACTTTATAACGGCACGGAATTCGATTTTCTCCATATTTCACAATTTCTTCCCAATTGACTTGTTTGGTTGACGATAACTCAAAGATTAATGATCTAATTACAATAAAACCCGGTATTTATACTAATAATGAGTTGCTCAATTATCACGTAATTCAGCGACGTCCCCATTTATTACCTACCTACCCATTCCGCGAACTTAAAAACGCCCCCTCGTACAATCAGTTGGACTGTGTGCTCGCTTGTCACCCTTATCCTATAAAAAAATTAATTATATGTAATAAAACAAATACTTTTCTGATTTCAGATAAACATTAAATAAAATAAAAGTAAACTGCTTGTAATATATTTTATAAGACCTATACTGTTCTATAACCAAGAGAAACTGAATTTACAGTTTTCCATGCAATTGTGTTCCAGGTCGTCAAGTGATAGAAGACAAAACAATAGAACACGAGGTGGATGAGGAGAAAGTGAGGCAGATGACAGGTGGAAACAGAACCAACGCAAGCGGACTGTTCCTGAGTCATGACCTGTTGTCAGATACGTCCACTGATCGGGACGTAGCACCTGGCGTTAACGCTCCGCTTCTGCAGGTATAAATTAAAAAGCTTCGGCACACAGCGAATATTCACTGCGAGTGTATTCGCTGCGAATATTACTCGCAGCGACAATTCGCTGCCTATCTGTCACACACAGCGTACTTCACGAGAATTATCTATAATGTGTATCATTTATATTCTTACATTTTTTTAATTGTTCTTGGGTTTCTATTTCGGATCCCAGCTCAATGAATTTGTTAAACAATGAAGGCGTTTGCCTATGCATTTTTTTAAATTACTGTTGTTTGTGTCCCACAGCTGCCCATTTTTCTATACACACCCAAGAAACGAATTACATCGTTATTTCCCCATTTTGGAGAATCGTTTTTTGGTTGACTCATTTGATTGACCAATACACACGTATCATGCAGCAACGAAACAACCTATGCGCGTGTAGTCTACAACGGTGCTCTGAGCGGAATGGCTACTCACTAGTCTTGGGTAGTTCGCGAACGACCTAGGTGGGAAGAACGCTCTTTTAGGTGAACTATACGAACTAGTTCGTCGACAATCACGCTCTTAGTTCTTTAATTTTTTATTTTTCTTACGTCCACTCTATTATGGAGTGGCGCTGCATGGCTAACCGACTGATTTATTTTTATTCTTACCGTTCTTACCAGAGTTTCTTATTAAAGTATATAATTTATAATCTATAGTTAAAGTTTTATTAGTGCACAATTCACAACAAATAACAAATATTAGATTTTACGGTAAGTTTATTTAAAATTAATATTTTACATTTCTTTTTCTACTAAGCTTATTAAATACTCGAATACAGTGCAACATCAATATAACGAAACTGAATGGAATTAGAAAGTATTCGTTATTATACGAAGTAATTCGTTATAATGAGGTTTGTTATATAGAGGTTAGGTGGAACTACAATGCGTTTTAACAAGGTAAGAAAACTTGTTTATTAATCTCAACATTACGTAAATAATCATCTACCTGTAGTGTACGTGTCTGAACCTGCCAAGACATGATTTATTGTGGAATTAAGTGGGAATAATTAATACATACATACATATAATCACGCCTCTTTCCCGTAGGGGTAGGCAGAGACCAGTTCTTTCCACTTGCTACGATCCTTACATACTTGTTTTGCTTCGTCCACTTTCATTATTCCCTTCATACATGCTCTACGGTTTAGGGTACTCTTGACCTGGCCTTTTTTCAAGACGTCCCTGATTTGGTCTAGAAATGTCCGCCTAGGTCTACCCCTTCCAACACTTTCATTCACACTCGCCTTATACACTTTTTTCGTCAATCGTTCTTCATTCATTCTATCGACATGGCCAAACCATCTCAGCATACCTTTCTCAATTTTTGTCACTACATCTTCTTTCAGACCACAACGTTTCCTTATCTCACTATTTCTTATCCTGTCACTTAGTTTAACTCCTATCATACTTCTTAATGCTCTCATGTCAACTGCATTTATTCTGCTTTCATGTTTCTTCTGCCATACCCAAGTTTCACTTCCGTACATGAGTGTCGGAACCAACACCCCCTCATGCACAGCCAAACGAGCCTTGTTAGACACCTTCCGACTGCTCATAAAGGAGTGCAAAGCTCCATTCACCATGTTTCCTGCATTCACTCTTCTTTCGATATCACTCTCACACTTTCCATCTCTTGTAAACTTTGAACCCAGATACACAAACTCTTTCACCTGTTCAATTTGTTCATCTTCAATCACAATGTTGCAGTCTGTCACTGCCTCATCTTTTTCAAACACCATCACTTTCGTCTTCCTTACATTCATCTTCATTCCCTTTCTAACAAAAGCTCCACTCATAGCAGTTACCATCTCCTGCAACTCCTCGGCCGAAGACGCAAGTAATACTTGGTCATCAGCATAGAGAAAACATTTGACGAGTAACTCATTCATTCTCAACCCACTTTCATTCTCTTTTAAATCTGTCAAACAATTGTCCATGAACAGATTAAACAGCCACGGTGACGCTACACATCCCTGTCTAACACCTTTTTCGATATTAAACCATTCAGTGTATGCCCCGTTTATCCTTACACAAGCACTAGAATCCCTATAAAGAGATTGCATTGCTCGTGTGAGGATACTGCTCACACCGTTCACGGACAGTGCTGACCACAATTCATTCCTCACCACTCTATCATAGGCCTTTTCTAGATCTACGAACGCGCAGTAGACTTTCTTGTTTTTGGCCAAATACTTTTCGGCTATGCACCGCAAGGAAAAGACCTGATCCGTACATCCCATTCCCTTTCTAAATCCCGCTTGTGCATCCCAAACTTTCTTGTCTGTTTCATTCACAATCCTTTCAATCAACACTTTCGCATACAATTTACCGACGACGCTGAGAAGGCGTATGCCGCGGTAATTTATGCAGTCCTGCCGTGACCCTTTTCCCTTATACAATGGCACGATTACGGCTTTGCACCAGTCTCCCGGTACTTGCCCATTTCGCCAGCACAGATTGAAAAGGCGGTACAGCTGACTAGCCACCAGGCCCTGTCCAGCCCTCAGCATCTCGACGGTAATCCTGTCATACCCTGCAGCCTTACCTAATCTCATACTTTTCAACGCTTTCACTATTTCATCCATGCTTATCTCATTTTCATCAACATTTATATTAGTTTCCGTGGAAGGTGGCAGATGCTGTACCTGCACTTCCTCTCTTTCAAACAAACTTTCAAAATACTCTTTCCATCTCTTTAACACACATTCTTCTCCTTTTATAATGCTCCCATCTTGACTCCTGATTGTACTCAGCTCAGAGGTAGAAGTTTTTCCTCTGGCTGTTTTGATAGTTTTCCAGAAAAACTTAATGTTTGACTGGAAATCTTCAGTGAGCCTCCTATCGAAATCATCCTTTCGTTCTTCTTTCTTTCTTTCTAGACACAATTTCTTTCGCTGCTGTTTTCAATATTTTATACTTCGTTCTTGCTTCCTTTACCTCGTCATCCGTTGCCTTTTGAAGTTTTTGGTTAGCTTTTGTTGCTAACCAATCCAACCACGCTTTCTTCTTTTCTTGCACAACCTTTTGTACATCTTTATCCATCCACACGTTATCATTCTTTCTTCCTTTCCTTCTTTTAGCTACCCCGCATACCTCAATAGCAACATTTACGACCCCTTTCTTAAATGTCTCCCACAAATCTTCAATCACTCCTATCTCTTCTATCCCTTTAAAACTTTCTTTCAGTTTCTCTACATACTCTTCTTTCTTTTCTTTTTCTTGTAGATTTTCCACTTTTACTCTGTCCAAAACACTCGTAGGCTCGGCCACTCGGTGTCGCCACCGTTTAAAGAGGCCACGCATTCGGGCTATGACCAGGAAGTGGTCTGTGTCGAGGCCTACACCGCGGTATGCCCGAGTGTCTAGCACTTTCTTCCTCAGTCTTTCATCCACAATTACAAAATCAATCATACTTCTAGACTCACCCTCATTTCTTGTATACAAATGGATCTTTTTGTGGTCAAACATTGTGTTGGCCACGCACAGATTCCATTCCAAGCATACTTCAAGCAGGCTTCTCCCATTGTCATTCACTCTCTCGTCCCCAAACGTACCCAGAACTCCTTCATACCCATCACGCTTTACTCCAACCCATCCATTAAAGTCCCCTAACATCACGATCCGTTCATTTTCTCCGCATTTATTCAAGACCTCTCTCATGCTATCCCAAAATTCCTCTCTCTCTTGTTGTGTTTTTAATGACCCACCTCCACGCAGATCCACGTTGGTGCATAGACCCCAAGGATAAACAAGCGAGTGAGCCCGACTTTTAACCTAATCCATAGGAGTCTTGGGCTTATACATTCATGCTCCATCACACATTCAACCATTCGAGATGAAAGAATCACACCAACTCCCTGACAGCCTCGGCTGGTTTGGGGGACTCCTGACCAGTATGCCGTGTAGGGGCCATGAACCGTGGTGTCACATCCTTTCCTCTTGGTTTCGTTCACGCACAGAATATCAATGCACCGTTCATCCATCATCTGACATACTTCATCTACCTTACCATCCATTCCTCCTCTTACATTCAACGTAGCGAAGCGGCTCTCCGTGGGCCGCTTTTCGCCCCCGCGAGAAACGAGACGTGATGGGTAGCGAACCACATCGCCGCCATTTTGGTTAATTAAATTATTTTTATGATTATCCATTGCGTTCCCACGAATAGCGAGGGAAAGGTTTGTCCCCCCCAGCAGAGCCCCGCATGCCAGGGTAAGGCTAGCCTAATTCTGGGGTCGCCAGGTCCCAGGGCAGTGTGGCACGCTAACGACTAGGCTCGCCCCTAGCCATGCATCCATCCGCGCGGCAGACGTTGGATTGGCGGAGGGTAGGAATAGGGAAAGGGGAAGGATAGGTGGTGTGAAAAGGAAGAGTAAGGTAAGTTAGGGTAGGAAATAGGAAATGTAAGATATTACCGTCCAGGAGGGCACGGGATAGGACAGTAATAGCTAGGGAAGCCGGGGTCGCATACCCGTATACCATACCACAACTACCGGACAGGTAAATTGGGATGAGTATCCCTATATAATTAATAGGATATGTTTAAAAGAGGTTGAAGTTGAGGGAGAGAAAATTGGTTAAAAAGAGGTAAATAATACCTTCTATTATATATTCCGCAATAATTAAAAATTCGATATAAAGATGTTTCTGATAAAATCTATTCGTAATGTAGTACGTTTATTTTGCATTAGCTCTTACACGGAGTTCTAGGGAATTTTGAAAAATTCGTTAAACCGAGGAATTCGTTATATTGAGGTTTGTTATATCAAGGTTACATTGTGTTACTATGTCACATTAATTAGCGACATATTATCTTTAAATTATAGTTGCGTTATTTTCAATAATCCAATACACTTCAAAAATATAAAAACATGTTTAGCTTCGTTTATTATATTTTATTTTAATGTCCATATCATCAAATAGTTCTTGATAAGTATCATGCATATATTATACATTATGCAGTATATTACATACTAATTAAATCATTAATTTTTTAACGTAAATTCAATTAATTTTTATTTATTGACATTCAATAAACTCATCTTTTTTAATAAGATCTACTGAAAAATTAAAAAGAACAAACGAACTAAATGAGCGAACTAGTCCGCTATAGGACTACGAACTAAATTGAGCGCTCCCTATGGCGACCGACTATGCCCAAGACTACTACTCACAGCGAGTACCCTGTCGCACACAGCGAATTCTCGCTGCGAGTGCACATTCGCAGAGAGTAAAATTGAACATGTTCAATTCAAATGGCGGCGAATGAATCTATTCACTGCGAATAGCCTGTCACACACAGCGAGTTCTCGCTGCGAGTGCTCAATCGCAGCGAGTATTCGCTGTGTGTGGCCGAAGCTTAATATTATTTTGGTCACGTAGTATGTTCGTTTATCACTTCTATTTGAAAAAAAAAAGGCATTTTACATACAAAAAAGTTAGTATTTGTTCCGCGCGCTAACCAAGTCCGCGTCTCTCGGTGTCCGTATCACTGTGCCACTGAGTTATCATATGATATATTATTATATTATATGAGGACGGAGCTATAAGATCTTCCTGGCATTTTCATGAAAACAAAAGTCAAACCTTCTCACCCTGTAAAGAGAAGCCACACGGCAGTAATTATGTGTAACCTTTAAAATCCATAACTTGATATTATTCAGTGTGATATTTTGATATTGTTTTCGAAAATTTATCACTTAAACTTAAAGTTTTACGTTAAAAACTTATTGTTAGCTCAATAATTTGGTAATGAAGAAAGAAGAATGCCGGGTAATGCTAAGAATGGAGTAGATCCGCTAAGAAATAAAAGTTGTTCATAAATTTGGATTTGAGGTGAGATTTAATCCGCGCGATACTGGCAGGTGCTAATGTAAACAATGATATATTTTTAATTTGGTATGCCGGCTATTTATAAAACTTATTAAAAGCACCAATTTTATCATGTAATTAGTGTTTATTCTTATTATAAACTAGCTGTTTATTTTTCTAATTATTATAATTATAATTATCATCATCATTATCATTACAGCCCTTCACAAGTCCACTGCTGAACATAGGCCTCCCCCAAAGAATGCCACAAAGCACGGTCCTGAGCCACCTGCATCCATCGACTTCCTGCATATCTTACCAGGTCGTCACTCCATTTAGTGGGGGGACGCCCTACACTTCGCCTGCCGGTACGAGGCTGCCACTCGAGAACCTTTCTTCCCCATCGGTTGTCGGTTCTTCGAGCTATATGGCCGGCCCATTGCCACTTCAGCTTACTAATCCGTTGGGCTATGTCGGTCACTCTAGTTCTACTGCGGATATCCTCATTTCTGAGTTTATCACGCAGAGAAACTCCGAGCATAGCCCTCTCCATAGCTCGCTGAGCGACCTTGAGCTTCCTCATCCGGCCAGCAGTGAAGGACCACGTCTCAATTCCGTATGTCATCACTGGCAACACGCACTGGGTGTACAGTCTCGTTTTCAAGTTTTGAGGTATACCTGACGAGAAGATGTGCCGTAATTTCCCGAACGCTGCCCAACCGAGTTGAATCCGTCGATTGACCTCTCGGTCGAAGTTGGACTTACCTAGTCGGACTATTTGTCCCAGGTAAACATACTCGTCAACAACTTCGAGCTTAGTGTTCCCAGCAACTACCGGCATAGGTGTGACATGGACATTAAACATGATCTTTGTTTTGTCCATGTTCATCTTAAGACCTATCCGTTGGGAAACACTATTGAGGTCATTGAGCATAGTGCTTAGGTCCTCCAGCGATTCTGCCATAAGGACTATATCGTCGGCAAATCGAAGGTGAGTGATGTACTCGCCATTGATGTTGATACCGTATCCTTTCCAGTCCAGAAGCTTGAAAACATCTTCCAATGCAGCGGTAAAGAGTTTCGGGGATATGACGTCACCCTGTCTTACACCTCTCTGCAATTGGATAGGTTTCGTACTCTGGTTCTGTACTCGGATAGCCATCGTAGCCCTACTGTACAAGCACTTCAACACTTCGATATACCGACAGTCAACTTGGCATCGCTGAAGGGACTGCAGCACCGCCCAAATTTCGACGGAATCAAAGGCTTTCTCATAGTCCACATACGCCACACATAGTGGCAAATTGTACTCCTCGGACTTCTGTACAATTTGCCGAAGGGTATGTATGTGGTCTATGGTGCTAAAGCCTTTTCGGAAACCGGCTTGTTCGGGAGGCTGGAAGTCGTCAAGTCTGCGCGCGAGACGATTCGTAATGACTCTCGAAAACAGCACGTAGACGCGGCTCAGAAGGGAAATCGGTCTGTAGTTCTTCAAGAGAGCGTTGTCGCCTTTCTTGAAGAACAAGACCACCACACTTCTGCTCCACGCCTCCGGTGTAATGCCACCATGGAGGACGGAATTAAAGAGTCTCTGAAGGACTTCAAGTACCGGTTTTCCACCCGCTTTCAGAAGCTCCGCTGTAATTCCATCCTCGCCTGGGGCCTTGCCGTTTTTAAGGTGCTGGAGAGCCATTCTAATCTCGCTCAGACTGACGTCCGGGATATCATCGGAATAATGTCGGATAAGACTCGCTCTTGGATCGTTACTCACACTTGCGTGCGGCTCCAACGATGACGTGTACAGCTGCCCATAGAACCTCTCAATCTCACTCAAAATCTCAGGTGCCCCGGAAACGATGCTGCCACATTCTGTCTTCAGCTTTGACAGTTGGCGCTTTCTGGCAGACAGATCTCTGGCAAAGACTTTGGAGCCTTGGTTCCGCTCGATCGCTTCTTCAATACGAGCTGTATTGAATTTGCGTAAGTCCCGCCGCATGCATTTGGAGATCTGTCTGTTCAGTTGCCTGTATGCTGTTAAATCTGTTGAAGAATGCAGCTTCATCTCCCGTCTAACAGCCATGAGATTAAGAGTGTGATCGGAGAGTTTTTGTGTTCTTCTGCGGCGGGTCTTGCAGAACTTAGCTCCGACCGCATGGACAGTTTCCACGAGCTTGTCATTCAAATCGTCCACTTCATTGCAGTCTTCTAGGCACTGAAAACGGTTTTGTAACTCGAGCTGAAAGGTTTCGGGACTTTGGATTAGAGCACGAGGGGGACGGAGCGTTGACTTCATTAGACGAGACCTCTCCAACTTAACGTTTAGGTTCAGTGTGCCTCTAACCATTCGGTGATCGCTGCCGGTTTTCACCCTCGCGATCACTGAGACATCACTGAACAGTTGTCGTCTGGTCGTCATAATGAAGTCAATCTCATTTTTTGTCGAACCGTCGGGGCTCGACCAGGTCCACTTCCTGTGGGGCCGCTTCTGGAAGAAAGAGTTCATCATAAAGAGTCCCTCTTTCTCCATGAAATCAGCCAACTGCTGGCCCCTTGGGTTCCGTTGCCCTATTCCAAATTTCCCTACTTTCATATATTCTAATTATAATATATTCTAATTATTTTTCTAAAATAAAAGTAGCCTAAGTTACTCCTTATAATATTAGCTATCTGACAGTGAAAGTCCCGTCAAAATCGGTCCAGCCACTTCGGAGTTTAGCCGGAACAAACAGACAGACAGACAAACATTTTAAAAATTGTGTTTTTGTTTTAAGTGCCGTATACACTTTCATATGTATTTAGTAAAAAGCTGTTATTTTGATATTACAAACAGACACTTCAATTTTATTTATTTGTATAGATGTGCTTTACTTCACGTATTAGTGCGGAATAAAAATAATAAATCGGATTTAATTAAAGCTGGTAGCGTAACCTTGTCAAGTCGACAGTAAAGTTCAACCTCTCCGCTTCGCGGCCGCGGTGTGCAATATCCAGACTGGCGTCGGGCAGCAGCGTTAAATATGTGAGACGTCTGGTAGTACTGCGAGAGTAGCTCAAATTTAGCAATGGAATTCTACGGGCCGAAAAACAAGGAAAATAAAGATACAAGGCGTTTACGAGTCTTTATTTTATTTACATTAAAATATACAATAGTTAAATTATCATACAGCTCCCAGCAGTATATTGCCAAGAATTTTGACTGCTTTTTCTCGTTGAATGACTATACATAGTCTTTTGAATGAGAAAAGATTCAGCCCTCTTATCACCGGCGGCGACGAAAAGTCGTGCATACAGTATTTATTTAGTTGGGATGTAGCTATTAATGCGTCAAAATGGCAACAACGATTGTAAATTTTAAAAATACATAAACATTTTTAAATTTCAGTTTGATGAATCGGTTGAGAGACATGGCTACTCTTCGGTGGTCAAAGGAATAGGCAACTCGCCACTTAGCCGCGTGCAGGATGCAGAACTGCAGGAGATGAGCGACACCGGTCGCTGCCTTTCAATGCATCAACCTTGGGCTTCCTTGCTCGTTGAAGGCATCAAGATGTAAGTACGTTTTAACTTTTAAAGTGGCATGAAACATTTTGTATATTTCATTTAAATACTTATCTTTTAACACTGGATTTTTAAATTGTATTATACTTAAACTACACACCAGTAAATGCAAATAAAATAATTCACATTGAATAAGATTAATAAAAATAATTTCATTGCGTTGTGTACACGCCTTTAGCTGCTCCGACAAATGTTGACGGGACTAGGGCCCATGAGTAATCCCATCGATGGGCAGCAGAGGGACGGGGCCCAACGGCCTGGTGGAAGTATTTCCTATAATACTAAGCTATATGGAAAATGTTTTATCGTACTACAATTTAATGGGGAGGCTAGTCAAATAGAGTATTAAGACTTACCTGTATCTGAGGCGACGACTGCCTCAAGGTTCGGTCAGGCAGGAGGTGTGTATGTGTTGCGTGTATGGTGATAGTTTTTTGGTGTGGATGTGATTGACCTGACTGGGCCGTTGAGGTCGGCAGCTACCAGGACTCCGGCACCGCTCCAAATTATGGTAATCTCCAGCAGCGTCACCTCTCGGTCAATTTCTTTCTTCTTCACTATGTCAGTCTATTAACTTTACCGTATGGCCCCGAGCCGAGCGCCCTCTGGCGTCAAATCCCGAAACCAGCGCTTGGGCGTGAACAAACCCCCGTCCCGGCGGGCGGGACAGGGTCTCAACTAGCTAGCCTTTTAGATATGTAGTCTTATGCTTATATTTCAACCAAATTTCAAGAGCATCAATATTCAATCTACTAAAAATAAATTTATTTCTTGATGCACATAGATCAAAACAGACAAATTAAGCAAAACGACAAACAAGAGATAGCCAAAAAAAGTTTTTTTTTTTCAAAATGAATATCTTCGACAATGCCAACAAAAATATGAAAACAAAGAGAAGATTGATTTTTATTTCCTTGGGCACAAACAGTGTTACTTAATTTCAATTTTCTTTTCAACAAAGCAAACCTAATGATCAAATATATTTACAAAAACATATGCACACTTATTCAAGGAGTATATTAAATTCACCCTTTTTAATCACAACCGCCATAATATGAAACATTTCGCGGAAAACCCAAAAGCATTTTTATTTTTAATTTAAAGAAATTTTAACCAAGTGCTCGACCAAAACCAAATCTAATAGTCCCTGACAGCGTGATCCAACGCTCCAGGGAGCCCTAATCTTCCCACCAACCAAGTGGTGGCCACACCGCGTGTACCCGAGACCAATAGAGCGCAAACCGCTAATAGTCGCCACTCGGGTTGTACGCCTTCACTGAGACCGTCGCAATAGAACAGCTTGACAAGTGGACGGTTGACGGCTCAAAAGCTCAGTGGAGGCGGCTGTGGTGGGAGTTAGGGCGGCAGTTAGCAAGGGCTGCCTCCATCAAAGGGGGGACGGTGGTACACTAGTCGCGGCCACTCAACTAACGGGGGTGAGAAGGGTCTAGCTGACCGCTGAGTGGCTGTGAAGCTCCTCTCCACACGCTGAGGGAGGGCGACGACATCCCCGCCTCTGGGGGAACTACCCCCCGATTGGTCGGGGGAGGGACCCTTTTCAAACCTAGGGCCGCGGTAGCTGGCCGGCGAGCGCCAAGCGTCGCCCGTCAGAGGGCGTGGCTGAGCGTCCCCGCCCGTGGGGGTCGAGGGCCTGGCAGAGCCCCGAGAGGACACGTCGTTCCCACCCAGGCATAAAACTGCATGGTGACCGCCCCGGCAATGCGGACAGGGCCGCTGGTGCGGGCAGTCTCGTTGGAGGTTCCCTTCCAGACACAAGTAGTACCAGCGGCGCTCCCTGGCGATAGTTCGCCTCGCCGGAACCGGCTTATTTAACAATTTCGGGTACGACGTCACCCGGTGATCGGATGCTCCACAATAAAAGCAGGGGGCGCCTCCCTGGCCGCTAGGCCACTGTAAGATGGCAGGGAGCGACACCCGCCCGCGGGAGCTCCGGTCGGCCTCGGGGGGGTTGACGATGACTTGCCCGGAGGATTCCGCCTCTCACTGGGCACGACTCGTAAGTCGTCAACGGTGTCCGCCGCGTTCTCAATCTGCCGGCACTGCTCCTCTAAAAACCGCAGCAGATCATTGAAGGGCGGAATATAGGAGGCTCCGTCCCCGCCGTACCTCTCCTCAAAATGTATCCTAAGGTCGAGAGGCAGGTGGGACAGCACAATGTGGAGCAACAAAAAGGACCATTCGTCCACTGGTAAATCCAGCCGCCTCAACGCATTACAGGCCACCAAGACTGGATTCACCAGGTCCGGACGTAGTCTGGCCCGGTCACTAATCAGCGGGAGGCTTAGAAGCTGCTTAACATGTTCGTCCGCAATTCGCCGAACGTTGGCGTATCTTCCGGCTAGGAGGTTCCGAGCAGTCTGGTAGGCGTCGTCCGACAATCTCAAGTGACCGACGACTCCCAGGGCCTCCCCCTCCAGTGAGGCCAGGAGGTACGCCATCTTTTGGCTCGGGGTCAAGTCCCTCCGGGCGTCCACTAGGCTGTCGAAAATACCAACGAAGGTCAGCCATTCGGAAAGGACCCCGGAGAACCTTGGCAGGTCCAGAGTTGGGAGTCGTCCCAACAGCTCCGGCTGAGGTTGCTTCCGAGAGGACTCGGGCAGGCCACTCATCCGAGCTTCACGCGCCTCCTCAGCATACCTGCCTTCAGCCTCGATCTACTCGTCCGTGAGCGAAAAAATCTGCTCGTAGTCCGCGAAGTAGGAGTCCAGGACTCCCTTTTCCACATCCGAATCCTCGAGCTCAGCGTAAGCCTCCTCCACTGCGACCATTCGAGAATCGACCTGCTCGAGCCGCTTCCTCAACTTATAGGACCCTATCTGGTCGACCTATCAAGGCATGGGCGCTGGTAGCCCAGCGCAGCTCCGTCCTCAAGCAACGAATTAGTAGCTTGTGCGATGGCATTACTAATAAATACAATTAATACGCGGCTCAAATATAAATCAAATTAACAAATAACAAATACAGTTCCTATCAAATCAAGTTAAATAGAAATTACACAAATACGATTACTATTTATTAAATTAAATACAAGTTAGCACAAAAAAAACACAAATCAAATTAACAAATAACAAATACTAGTACGATCAAATCAAGTTATATGCAAATAAAGGTACACACCACAGTCGATCCACAAAATTATCCGATTACGTGATAACCTTATCTACCTAGTCAAAGTATCTAGCCTTAACAAAACTCCCCCTTGCTCAACCTACGGGCGTGCCTTTCAAATCTACCCGCTAACAAACAAAAAAGCAAGCAACAAAGGAAAATAATTTTATTATTATGTACTATTTTTATACTATATTATATTATTAATATTACGGCCGTGGCGTGGATGTAGACACAAATTAAACCAATCCAACCACGCTCTGCTACCAAAAATGTACACGCCCCTAGCTGCCCCAACAAAGGTTGATGGGACAAGGGCCCATGAGTAATCCCATCGACGGGCAGCAGAGGGACGGGGCCCAACGGCCTGGTGGAAGTATTTCCTATAATACTAAGCTATATGGAAAATGTTTTATCCTACTACAATTTAATGGGGAGGCTAGTCAAATAGAGAGGATTAAGACTTACCTGTATCTGAGGCGACGACTGCCTCAAGGTTCGGTCAGGCAAGAGGTGTGTATGTGTTGCGTGTATGGTGATAGTTTTTGTGGTGTGGATGTGATTGACCTGACTGGATCGTTGAGGTCGGCAGCTACCAGGACTCCGGCACCGCTCCAAATTATGGTAATCTCCAGCAGCGTCACCTCTCGGTCAATTTCTTTCTTCTTCACTATGTCAGTCTATTAACTTTACCGTACAATTAACTAACTTCCAGACGCCACTAACTATCGTTTATTATAAAGCATAACACAACACGAATACCGAATGTTCGGATCAAAGGTCACTTCCGTTTCGCGTGGCAACAATTATTTCTAGCACCTACTATGACCTTCTAATTCAGACGTTGATCGCAATCAATGTTAACTTCCTAACAATTTGTTAACCCGGCGTCTAATTCTAGACTACAATTCCTCGTCGTTGCACCATTTGCTAACAAAACCGACTCTAAAAAATGGAGGTTATACCGAGCGACTTCACGACGTGCTCTCGACAGTACTGCTTTCAATCAACTGGCTTTTGCGTTCGCGCCCTCTCGCCACAGCCACACCGCTCGCCCGAACGTCAAAACCGGTATGGCCCCGAGCCGAGCGCCCTCTGGCGTCAAATCCCGAAACCAGTGTTTGGGCGTGAACATGTTGATATTATAATACTAGCGACCCGTCCCGGCTTCGCCTGGGTAGAATCAATTAATGTGGCGTTATTAATTTAGATTTCGGGCATTGCTCTCTATCTGTTCGTAAAGTTTCATTACATTCGGTTTAGCCATTCCGAAAATTAGCCCGGACAGACGGACAGAGAGACAGATACAATGGCATGCAAATACCTTAGCACAATAAAAGGCAGTTTTTTTGATATTACAGACAGACACTTCATACGCATGCATGACATATTTTGTACATCTCGAATCTCATTTTAAAACGGTAGTAGATAAAAACAGGCTGACCTTTGACAAATGAAATTTTATTTTCTTACGTCAGTAAGAATACGGAGTACGTAAAAATCTATATTATATGTCTATATTTATCATCAAGAGGATAGTTCAGAAAAAAATAAAAGTATATCTGATGGTAACAGGGCACTGCAGCTCATGTTCACCTGCAACTAACTTCAAACAAAGAAGGCTTCAGAAGCGTTGTTACCATTGACGACTAAGTTGTTATCAATTTTTTTTCTATACTCACTATATTTTATGTCGCCGTGGCATACAATAAACGTTTTCATTGCACTGCAGTGCACAGTGTACCTGTGTGGTTAACAGCCCTGCTAAAAATGGGTGATGTCTATTTTTAGCAGGGCTGTTAATAATAATAATAAGATATTTATTTGCATAAAACATGGTACATTTTTAGGTCTTATAATAT